GTTTTAACACTATATTGCAAAAATAAAATTTCGAAGCAACTTTGAAGGCTTTATATGTTCAATATCGCAATTTCATTAAATTCCCGACATGTTGACCGCGAACGAGCGGTCAACATTGAAACTAAATCCACGAGATTCTACGCGGTCGTCGACCCTCGTAGCAATTATCTTATCTGGTACATCCTATTATCATAGAATCGAATATCCATCGATCGAATGTCACACAAGAGGAATCTCGTAGCCGTTGTGCCTGTCAAATGTCAACCAGGTAGACACCTGGATTCCAAGGAGGTAGGAACCCCGCTGATCGCGTAGGTGTTGGCTGCACGTAAGATCGGTAAAGGATATTAATAACAGCGGTACTACGTGTCAAAAGTATCCTTTTCCTCTTGTAAGGGATTGGCATGCGTCAATCGTGATCGCTTGTCAATCAATGCGGAAATTATGACGGGCGAAATTTATGATTAAAAAACGCAGCATGTTTATAAGTAGCTACCAAATAAGTATAAGTTATGCCACGATGGGGATTTCATTCGTCGGAAATGATAATGTTTTACGATAAATGTTTCTGCTAAAAAAATGCAATTGTACTAGTTTTCACTTGTATCATCAATATTCTTCGCTAATACATGTAAAATATACATACTTGTATCATAAATATATGAAACGAATGTACAAATTATCACATTAAATCGCATATTATACGGGCAAGTAATAAGTATCGCGTTAGCATATTTCTTATATCTATACTCATTAACAGTGCGGCGTGATAACAGGAAACACGGAATTATCTTCGATTCCCCTCTCGAAACGCGCGTTTTACGCTTTCGAGGAAAAAGCATCTGCGAATTTCGTACGGTTGAAGAGTATAAAAATCTCTCTGGCGACATGCGCGCGAAGAGAATCACGATTTGTCCGCTAATTGTGAGGGAACAGTCGTTCGCGTGTACTTTCACGAAATTTCTTCCTGTCCCGCTCGACTCGAGTCGGCGAGGAAGAGAAGGTAGGATAAGGTAAGGAAAGGGAAGGGAAGGGAAGGGGAGACTCGCTGTTCGCGAGGCTGCGTCTCTCGCGGCGCGGCGTAAGCGCGGTAGAGGTGCTCGCTGGTGCTCGCTGGTGTTTGCCGGGGGTACGTTGGGTACGTACTACATACATAAGTAGTAAGTACGTACCCACACCACGGCGGCGCGGGCGCCTTAATGCACATAGGTATTGTCGCTAATGCGCCTGAGCGCAAGAAGAAGATGAATAGGGAAGCGCTGCCGTGGCTGGCTGTGCACGGCCGGGGCCTGCTGGATTGTTGTTCACGGGTGCATCAATCAGTCGCCAGTGCAATCTGTCGAGCGCGACGCCTTTAAGGCGATTCTCGCTTGTCAGCGCATCTGCCGGCTGTGTAGGCCGCGGCGCGGCGAAATGTAGGACGGGGGACTTTTGTTCCACGGCGATTTGTCGTGCAGCGCGACGCACCGCACGTTTCTAATGGCCGGACTTTACGGCTCATCCTGGTTCGACGTAACGGCCGTGATTGAGTTATAGGAAAAAAGCGTGCGCCGCGTTTAAGCCTCTCCTCTTTCTCCTTCTCTCTCTCTCTCTCTCTCTCCCCCCCCCCCTCTCTCTCTCTCCTGTCCCGCCGTGGAGACTGGAGAGACGGCCGCGATTACTGTCCGCGACACGGCGAAGTGCGCGACAGCTTTCCGCCGCACCGCCGGAACGCGACTTCCAGTTTTCAATCATCGCCGGGAATACTCGAGATTCGTTATAGCTCGTGGCGGATTAATCCGTGACGAAGATCGTTAACGGACGTCGTCCGCGCTGTAACCGTAGAAATCGGAGTTTTCGAACGGTGGATTAATTTTGAGTAGATAAAGATGCGATTGCGGACTTTTAATGGACCATTTTAATTCAATCCTTCATCCACAATGCGAATATATCAACAGTACGCTCGACTTGCGCCATAAACTGTAGCGGAAATTATAAGGATGCGGGCGCGACGTTGTCGTATACGAAGACTGTTAATCTCGCGATTGTCGTCGATCTGCACGGTGCCGTGATTTATCGGACGGCCGTTGGGGGCTGCCCGACATAACGAGATTCATTCTGACGAATCCACGTCTCAAATTGGTTTAGTATCTATAATACGTGTGTGGTAAACGAACGTTACGTTACGCATTCCTCCTCAGCTACTGGCGCTTATGATTTATGTACCACACACAGTACGTGCGGCCTCACATACGGCACACGTATATGCGCTTATTTCAAGTCTGTGTACGATCTCGCTTCGCGTGCACGGCAGAGTCGTCGCGGAACGTATGAATCTGCGAGAGATTGCGAGGAAAGATATCTGCGGCGGCAGATGTTTGAAACGCGCTGTCGAGGACTCGCGAGATTTCTTCCGAGGTCTCTCTCTCTCTCTCTCTCTCTCCCCCTCTCTTTCTATTTCCTTCTCTTTACCCCCTCTTCCTTACAGCTATGTGCTCTTTTTCTTCTGGTATTCATTAATATCGCACAATCTCCGATGCCTTATCAAATCCATCACAAGAGTTCGCATAGAAACAGATTTCTGAGATTTGTATAAAACTTATGGTTACTCCGG